ACCGGCGTTCATTGAACGCGCGTTCAGCACGTTCAAAAACTGAACGCGAAACCCGCGTTCAATGAACGCGCAGTAACATAGAGGCAATGCAGTATCGCAAGTATCTCCTTCTTGACCTGAGAGTAGCACCGCTCAACCGAATTGAGCGTCCTACTCTCAAATCTGATCGGTCGCTCTCTACCATCTTCGCCTTTTTGAATTAGCACCTCGCCGACTGCCATTGGTCCTCCATCCGTCTCAAGGATGAAAGGTCGACCGACCTCGTCGTTGAAACATGGAGCGGCAAGGGTGACTTCTTCGGATGTGAGAATATTTTTCAGGGTCTGGACGACCGATTCCCTTTCCTCAGTCCAATCGAGCGTGCCTTCTTCACGGATCATGGCTCGAACCGGTTCCGCTATCTTTGCGAACCCTTTTATGAAGATTCTCCAAAAGCCTACCACCCCCAGGAATGCCCTGACTTCTGTTGTAGTTCGAAGGGGCGTAGGCCACTGTGCTATCTTATCGGTCTTAGCCGGATCCGGCTTCCTTCCATAGGCCCCACAACGAAATCCCAAAATTGTGACTTCTGGAACTGCCAAGATACTCTTCGGACCGCTAGCGGTTATGTTGTATTATTGGAATCTTCGCAGCAGCTCTCTAATATCCTGCAGGTGGTCCCAATTAAACTTTCTTATCCCCGGCTGGACTTCGGTCTCATCCTTCTCTCGTGCTCCTTTGACAGGTTTGTTGTCAATGCATGGCTCACTTTGTCTGGGCACATGTCCCCGACCACCGCGAGCATCCTCCTCTGTGTCTCTGCTACCTCATTAGTAAATCCCATAGGCGTGACCTGCATCTGCAACTGTCCTACTGGCGTATGCATACCCGTGTAGGGCCTATCTCGTGCGTCCAGCGGGAGCTGGTCGTATCCTGAGTACAGATCTATCAAGGAGTAAATACTGCGTCCGGCATGGGATTCGGCCAGGAGATCTGCCTGCGGCAACGATCTCGCATCCCGGATGGTGACATCATTTAACTTTTGCAGGTCCTGAATCCACCTAAGTGACTTGTTGGGCTTGCGGAATACAAACCACTTGTTGGCATAAGGAGACGCGGTGGGTTCTGCCACGAAGGAGTCTATTTTTCCCCTAAGGAGCTCCGTCACTTCTCCTGCGATCCCAAAGTCGTAGGCCGGTCCCTTGTCATTCCAACACTCATGCTCGACCGTGTGAATCTTGACTGGTGGGATCAACTTAGCGTCCAGGCACCCTTTCTGATGGTCATTGAAAGCGAATGCTAGATGAGATTCTTGGCATACTTCTTTGATTGCCTGTGTTTCTTGCTCCGTCAGAAAACCCTTTACTCCGATCTTCATGGTTTGGGCCACCTCATCCGGTATCCTATGTCCTTCCGCCACCCTCCTTTCTCTAAGTACCCGAAAAACCTCCTCCTCATTTTCCATGGCCTCCTCCTTAGTCATCTCGAGTAGGATGAAGACCGGCTTCGCCTTCTTTCCTACTGGCTTATACCTCCGAACGCTTCCTTCCTGGATCTTTCTTCTAAAAAATGAACGGCTGGAGTTGCTTGCGGGGCTTCCACAATGCGGGGCTGAATACTGACCAGCTCCCCATTTAGGCAATAGCCTTTTTGGATCCTCTCCTCAAAGCGGGCGAGGGCGGCCGGGTCAACGGCCACTTTGTGGTACCTGATTGCTCTGACAAGTTGCAGTAAGTCCAGGATTTCTAGTGTGACCTTATCCTTCTTGTCCCGGATCTCCCCGTGCTTGGGCAAACTGGCTCCCAATTCCACCTCTGTTTCCTTCTCTACTACCATGACTCCTAGGGCGTCTTCGTCTGACCTACGTTTCTTCATCAGGAGTCCTATCTTGATCCATTCTTTCTTACAAAAGGCCTCTTCGATCATAATTTTCACCCTCTCTCTCATCCCTTCCATGCGTGCGAAAGCCCCCTTTCCAGCGCTCTTCTCAAAGGAGGGTGACCAGGTTGCGAGCTTCCCTTTTGGCGTGTCTCCCCCGGTTCCCATAAGGCGAAGCAGCTCGCCTCGTCCTGTCACCGGGTCCTCTATGTCTGCCATGTAGGCGCCGTCGTGCAGATGCATCCCGATCATCTCTACGTTCGCATACCACGGGCGCCCGAGGATCACGTCATGGTTCATTTCGTCCATGACGGTCATTCGTTGGAACGACCATATAGACTCTCTAACCCCGACTTTAACTGCGCACTTGGTAACATAGCCGGAAAAGGGGATTTCCCCACCTGCTCCCCGGACACTCCCCGTGACCTCCCGATTGATTGGACACCCAGCAATTGTTGCAAAGTCCTTGCGAATAAGTGTGATTTCTGCCCCGCCATCTACCAGTGCATCCGTATGGTGGGTGTCAATCTGGACTTTCAGTTTCCTTACCAGTAGCGCATGGAAACTCAGTTTCGTGCCAGACGGTGCCCTCATGACTTCTCCGCCTTCCCGGTCTGGCAGACTTAGCCGGATGTCTGCGAAGGCCTTCTCTAGATCTTCCAGATCCCCGGGGGCCCTCTGAAGGTTTGCCATTTCCCGCGGTGGCTCCTCTTCCTTGCCTTCTTCGCGTACATCCGGTTCCTCCGCTACTTCCACCCTTTGCCTTGTTAGCAGCTGTCTTAGGCCCTTTAGTAGTCTAGGACTAGCTTGCAACATGTTCTGGAAGGAAACCGATACCATGGTCCCTAGCAACTGGCTAAGAGTGTGGTCTATCTCAGGATCGGCAAGGATAGGGATCTGGTACCTGAATTTCTTCTTTGCGGATGTTACTTTGTCTACCGGCGCCTCCTCCCTAGGCTTCCCGTAAACTTTGTCCTGATCCGAATCTGCTGGCAGATTCGACCCTTCTTGTGCGTCTTCCATGACCGCGTCCTGAATTAAGTTCTTTGTAGCACCCCGTTGTCTGGTGGTCACATTAACCCCGTCGCGGTCATCACTCTCGGTGATGAAGTTAACCTGGTGCCCTCGCCCGGGTGCCTGTCCCCAGGTAAGTTCCTCTATTGGTTCGGCCTCAACCGTAGCTGCGTCCAGGTTGTTAAGTGCGATTACTGCTCTGCGCATCCCTCCCGACGAGTTCCAGTTTACCCTCTCTCCCCGTGGCCCCAGGATTTCCCCGCGCAAAGTTCTAAAGCACCATTTAAGGATGATATCGTGGTTAAGCTTGGGACACATGCGGACAAAATGCCCGACTATCGTGCAGTACTTGCACTGCTCATTGGCCGGGTCCTTTCGATTATTACCGTGGTTGGCTATCCCTGGCGGTACGATTGCCTCTTGTGGCGGGAGGGGGGGTCGTACTGCTTGCATTTGCAAGACCTGGGCTTGCATCACTAGTAAGGCATTCTCTACTCTCTCTATCTTGCCGTCAACCCCGTGGACCCACTCGTGCAGGCTTTCGATTCCTTTCTTCACTTTGTCTCCAGTCTTGCCTGTCAAATCTATGATCTCTCCCTCTTTTAGCAGGGCCAACGAGTCGGTCACCACCATCTTCTCTGCAATGTCCGTTATAGTGCTGAAATCTACGTCTCTAGTGTTCAGGAACTTTGCTGTCTGTTGGTAGGCGGACATAATTTTATCTTTGTCGAACTCGGTGAACTGCTTTAGGAAGTACTTGCTCATTATTCGGTCTGTCACTCCGGGGATTCGTAGTGCTACGAGAGTAAACTCCCTTAGGAAGTCACTGTATGTTGCGAAATTCTTCCTCTGCACTGTAGCCAGTTCCGCCTCCGTGGCCATCTTTTCGTTTGCTAGATACTTCCTCATCATCACGTCCCTGGCCTCTTTCCATGATCCGCTTGTTGCGACGATTGCCATTATGTCCCTACCTAGGTTGAGTGACACATGCTGGCCTAGGTGCTCCATCTTTTCCTCCTCAGTCCATCTTAGTAAGGCTGCTAGATTTTCATAATCGATTAGGAACTTGGTGATGTTTCCGCCATCGAAAGTCAGCTTTTTCTTGGCGTCGGCCAAGTATCCCTGGTTTTTGCTTAGAGCACGCGTGAGGGACGACACCACCTTCCTAAGCCCTCCCTCAATCATCCCAGGTCCTGTCGCGGAACTCGGACCGGCGCCTTCCTTGCTAARATCGAGTTGCCCTTTTGGCTTTGCGATCCCTTCCGGGTCAAACCATCCTAGCACCCTTTCCCTCAGGCTCCAGAGTCCCTCGCATCCTTTTGCACTTACAGGCGACGCCGAGGGTCGGCTTGCTCCGCTGTCCAGTAGGGGTGGATTGACTGGTCTATCMSTATCCTCCCTAAGGAATTCTATTCCTTCTTTCCCTTTCCTTGTTGGGGTATCCCTCGTGTCTCTGGGCCGATCCTTCCTGTGTTGTGCATCCCCATCCTAACTTCCTTGCCCGAGGTCCAGTTTCCCTTCTTCCCACGTCCTGTCATCAGCGGCATTTTTCTCGGCATCGTTCATGATCTCTTCCAATAGTTTTGCCCTGTATTCTGTCGTGCGTCTCTCTACTTCGGCTAGCTTTCTCCGTGCATCCGTTAGCCTGACCTTTTTTGGCTCCGCCCCCTCGGGCTGCTGCCGTGTCGGACTCTCCCTGTCTCTGACTTCCTTGGTTCTCGGGGTCCCCCGTTTACTTCCCCCGCTCTTTCCTGAATCTTCCCCGGGCACAGCGTCCTTGCTCCTCTCCCTGTTTCCTAGTGACTTTGTCGACCTCCGATCCCCTAGGTCCCGCTCTTCTTGATCTACGCCGTCCTCTACGTCCTGATTTTCGTCCCTCAATTGACTTCCAGCCTCGTCTCCCGTGGCCATGTTTTCCTTCCTCTAGCCCTGTGATATGGAAGAAGGATTTTTTTTTTTTTTGGCAATCGCACATAATTCTCTTAGCCTTTAGAATTGCCTATTTTCCACCCCTTTTTGCTCTTCCCTTTGCTTATCCTAGGTATCTTAGCCGCACCTTTGGTTGCAACGGCGTCTCTCCCCCCCCCCTTTTTCCTGGCATGTGTTCAACCCATGGTAGACCTGGTCGCAGCCATCCAATCGGTTCTTTTATACATATTTTTCTTTCCCTTTGGTTCTTATTTCTACCATCTTTCCCGGCATCTTTCCTATGCTGGCTCTTCCGGTCTCTCCCTCTCATTCGGTTCCTCAAATAGTCTTGCCACCCCTGCGAGATAGTTCTCCCCCATCTCGATCTCCCTTATGATTATTGGCTCGTATTCCTGAAACGACAGACGGTGCGTTCCGAATATCAGGATCTCAAGAAGTTCCAGCAATTCTCGCGCCCGATTTCCCCAGAACGGCCCGTGCCTTACTGCCACGTCATAGAACATCCCCGTGGCCTGTGGTGAGAAGTAGCGTTCCCAGATTACGGTTGAATTCACCAGGTCCCTTGCCCGCGCGAGACTCCCAAAAACCAAATCAACCATGAACCGGGGCACCCGGCAGCGCATCCCAGACATAGGGGCCCTAAAGTCTCGCCATCCCCCTACTTCTACTCGCGTCCTTAATCCCACATTCCGTCTTCCCCTAACCTCATGGCCTATCCGGTTCAAAACCCTGACTGCCCTCCAAAACACTGGTAACAACCCATGCCCCAAGGCCAGTCCAGTTCCCAACATTTGCCATCCGATTTTTGGGAAATATAGAGTCTCTGTCACCCTGAGGTCAGTATATAAGTCGTCTCCTGGCCCCCTATCGAATCTCATGCCACCCCATAGGCATTCAACTAGCATGAAAGCCTGATTCCGTCCTAGGGTCACAACCCGCCATTCCGTATCTATCCCCCGAACAATGTAGCTTGCCGGGAGTGACACTTCCCATCCGCCTCTGGTTTCCATGGGCGGTTGCGGGTGCATGTCCCGCCGGTTCGTACGGACGCGTCTTGCCGCCATTGTTGGCGAATATCGCCCTGCATACACCACGCAAAAAAAAAAAAGGGAAAGGGAAAAAGGAACCTCTCTTTTTAGTTTCTTCAAGCCCCCTTATAGCCCGATCCCGCCGATCTACCTTCCCCCCTGCTTTTCTTTTCTGCCCTCCTATTCTTCTACCCCCTCGAACAGCTGGCGAACGTCGTCCACATACGTCAGCCCGCATCCTATCTCGCGCCTAGCTATCTCCCACACGACTTCCTCGGTTACTGTCGATATTCCAGGTCTAGTGCCCACTATGGCTTGTAGAATGTTTAGCACCTCGTACTCCTGCTCCTCATCGAACGGCCCTAGTTCCAGAAAGGCCCGGTAGTATTCTCGATAGACGGTCATGTTCCTAAAACTCAACCTACCCAGGGCTATTACTGCCATCTCAGCACGTTTTACCCCTCCCATTCACTCAAGCAAAAAGGGTGGCAAGACCATGCACACATTTTCATAAGGCAAGATACTAGCTCCTACCTCGACCACCTGGACGGTCGTCGTTACGTCATCCCGGTCCGGGCTGGCGAACGCAAACCCTTCCCTCCAGGTCACCTGCCACGCCCCGTCAAACATCCGTACGGGGTCACCGCCATCCGCCAAGGCCACCCCGAAGGTCCGCCATCCCGCATCCGACAAGTATAGGGACCCTGTCGCGCGCACCCGTCCTGGCAACTCTAGGTTGGTGCCCCCAAACTCACCCCTTGCGCGCCATTCTAGTTCCACCACCAGGTACACCGTGTCCTCTACCAGTTCTACCCCAACCCAGTCCATCACCGGATTATACACCCCGCCCTTGGAGGGCAGGCTAACCTCCACCCTTCTATCCCAGAAACATGGCGGCAAGATCCCTCGCGGCCGAGTTTCCCAAAGCGTCATACACTTAGCCATTTCTCGTTACCTGCTCTCGCTCCTCGCTCTTGATTTCTGCATGCACCACGTTAGTCAAGTTCCCTTTGTTCTCGTCTTCTCCCCTTGTCTCCTAGTTACCCTAGCCCCCCCCCTCTCTATTTCGGTCCCCACCCCCTTGTGTACACTATCCCTTCTTTTAATGTACAATGCTCTTTCTTTTCCCAGTCAATCCCCCCTATTCCCCTGTCTTCCCAGGTCCGTACTCAAATCCATAAGACCTCAAACAACAAGAAGATGTCCCCTACATACGAGGGCGCTGCGGCTATTTCCCGACGGAGTATCGCCTTCTCGACTTCCTCTCCTACCTCTAGTCGGTAGTCCTTAAGTTCCTTCAGGATCTCGACCACTTCCTCAGCCCGGTCCCCGTGAAACGGCCCGAATCGCAATGACGCCTCGTAATAAGCATCTGATAACCAGGCGAAGCCTATCTCTACCTCGTCCATGGATTCCGCTACGGCGCGGATATGTTCGTACCCTCCGAACCAGTCCGCAACAAAATGCGGGACCCTCACCTGGACTAACTGGTAGGGGAGCCTAAGGTCCTCCCATCCCCCCATCACGACCCTGCTTCCCACTTCATCCCACCCCTCATTTGCAAAATCCTGCCCCATTTCCCAAGTTAACTGCTCGGCATCCTCTACAATCCACATCGGGTCTCGTCCCGCCGCTAGGTGCGTGCAAAACATATACCACCCATTCTTAGAAAGGCACACCGTCCCAAGTGCTTCCACGTTCCCGTCGGCTATTTCATCCCATGCCTCGTTTTCTCAAACCGGATCCCACACCCGTTCTACCCACAAAAAGGACATAGTCGGTACCATCTCTACTCCCACCCAGTCGCAGGCCACGCCGCGCCACTCGTTCCTTGTTGGCAAGACCATCTCTACCCCGCCCTCAACCCTTCTAGGTATCCATCCTCTAAACATCCGCGCCCACAAGCTTTGCTCCCTTGCCATCCTTGATTCCCTGCACACCCCCACGCGACCTAACCACTCCGTCCCCAGCCCCCTTTTTTCCTAGAAATCCCATTCCTCGATTTCCATCTCGTCCTCCTCCTCGGAGTCATCTTCATTCTCTTCAGGCCACAGGTCCCGTACACCCTCCAGAAAGATTTCCCCTACCGCAACATTCTTGTAAACTATCCGCCAGTGCACCTTGCTTGGGACAAACAGGCCATTTGTGCTGAGATGGTTTAAAATCTCGGCTAGTTCCCTTGCCCAGTTTCCCTCGAAGGGTCCCATTTCGACCGACAGCCGGAAGAAATCCTGGCGGGCTCCCTGGTGCAACCCCAACCCTGCCATGGCCCTGCATATTCGCACCAACCTACTCCGGGTTCCAAAGACGGCGTCTACCATGAAGGGCGGCATGACACACCTTAGGGCCCTGTACGGCTTCCGCACGTTTTCCCTATCCCCAAGTTCTACCCGCACATCAATCGATTTCATCGTCATCTCCACTCGTTGGCACGCGGCCCACACTACTTCCCGCTTGACCTCCCTGAACAGTTTGTACGGAAGTTTCCCCAAGGTGAGTTCGACAACCATCGCAGTCTCCCTCTCCTTTGACAGGTAGATCCATCCCCGGGCTTCCACGGTCCCCCGGAACTCTAAGTCAAATAGGCACGGCGTTATCCTGGTCAAGGTTACCTTAGTCCACATCGTTTCAATCCATAGGAAGGCATCACTTTCGGCCAGCATTACGGTTTGATAGGCCGGCTCCAGGTCCGTCCACGTTCCTTCCTCTGGCATTACGACCGATACCCCACCCTTCACATCTATGGGCATCTCTGGTCCATCTGAGTAGGTCGGCGACGCCAGCCACTGCGCCATCCTGCCTTCTTTATACCGGTGGCCAAGAACTGTTTCGTCCAATAAGCGCACCAATCGGCCCTCGGGTTAGGTCCACCATTATCCTAGATGAGCGTTGTTTTAGAGACCCCTCATCAAGGTCTCCCTAAAGTTCTTTACCCATCCTCCAAGTGTATCAGCCAGCGCCACGTCCCTAACCAGTCCCCCCCCCAATCGATCACCAGTTGCTCGCATTCCTTTTTCTTGGTTCCACTTCCTTCCGACGCCTATCCAACCTCTTCCTCATGTTCTCTCACTCGTGCGGACTTCGACTTGGAGGTGAGAATAGACTTAGAAACTCGGTCCCCTTCCAACATTCATCAGGCAACATTACAGAGGGAGGCACAAAAAGCAAAACCAGGCAAACATCGCACACAGATTGGTCATCTCCTCACCGACCTTTTTCCCAGAAATGGTCTTTCCACCGTTACTATCGGTAGGGTTTTCAGCCCATACCTCCAGCACAGCTCAACCGTCGCGAGCGCGGTACCCAGGTCTCGGCAAGGCATTCGCCCTTTCCTCCTTACCCAGAATACCCCATCCCGACTTGCCGCTCGTGTACCCACCGTTAATCTCGGGAATCACCCCGCACATCTCGGTAGGGCCATTGGAGCCAGCTGTCCAGGCATTCACTTCCATCGGTCCGATAAGGAACAACTTTTCCCAAGCCATGCTACGAGARGCTTTTAATCGCCTYYGAGRCTCCTTCCTTGSCCCATATGYAGTGGTCCCCCTGCCGTYCGCCGACAAGCAGCCGCCCCGCCTGAAGAGGTTTCACATCCCGCCTGGGCAAGGTCATCGAGCCATGCTCGGACCGCTCGGGTGAGAATGCTACTAATTAGCTGACGAGACCAACCCTTGTCTGACAGTCCGGTGGCCCGACCCCCACACACAGAGCCCGGTGAACTTCCAAGAGGACTACCAGTTCGCATCCCGCACCGGCCGGCACAAACCAATCCTTTCCTTCTGAATGGCAGGACGTTCGAAATCCCATTCATGCAATCACAAGCCCCAAGTGGGACACACATAACATAAGTGTCTTTTCCCTGGTGCACCCAGCGCTTCCTACCCATAACTCACAAATTTTCTCTCAGGACAGCCTGTGCCACTCACCCCTACTTTTCATACATAGTGCCCGGTTCCTTTTCGTGAGCATCTTCAAGGGGGAGCTAGTTTTTTCTTGGAGTCTAGCAACTCCCTTCATTCCCTTCATCTTCACTTGTGTGTCCGTTCATAGGGCAGGATTGTTCCTTCTCCATTACCGTTTGTGTTCATATGAGGTACCTTCAAGCATTTAAGTGCGGTGCAAGGAGCCTGCTGGGCTCCGAAGAGAAGCAGAGAAGCACCCAGGTCGGTCGGATCACTCCGACGCGGGATTTTCATTGGAACCCGGACTGGCCCGGAATCCCAACCGCCTGCCAGGTAACCGGAGCCCTTCTTTCACACGAAGAGGAAGGGTCGACCTGCGGCTTGCCCAAGGCTTCCCCGGCCTGACAAACATCAATCCAAGGGAAGGAGGACTAGAGTCATCCCCAAAGAAGATGGCTGAGTAAAAATGCAAACATGCATGTTCTTCCTCTGGGTCTGGCCTTGCCATGCGCCCAGCCACCCTCAAATCTGATTCTCTCAGGGGATAGAGCACACACAAGTCCATATTCCTTATCTTTACGTTTGTGTTCTCGGTCATGCGTCGGGCGGCCCCCTCGAGATCGTATGGGTCAATTTAACCCTTGCCCGTCACCTCCACCATTTTGTCGGGGCCGAACCCTGAAGGACTTTCGAGCCTTGGTCGACCCCACTGCGGGTCCCACTTGGCTCGACCCGCCATCGCTCACTCTCAGGGCGCGGGTCGTTCGTCCCAGAGGCACCCCCACCTAGTGCTATGAGATGGATGGGGTTGGGCCAAGAGGGCGAGAGAGCTTAACATTGGGGATGTAGCTCAGCCCTCTAGTAGGGTGGTAGCCTCACTGGTCTAGGTTTTCGATTCTCTGTTTGTCTTACTAGGCAATTGCTCCTTCCAATACTCCGACAGTCCAGAGAGGTTCATTGAGAGCTTTCTCTTCTTTACGGTGCGTAGGCTAAGCGTTCTCCTTAGGCCACGCACTCCTTCACTAACGGCCCTAGTTCCCTATAGCATCATCGGGGCGGCTCGTCCCTTTGCCTCTAGCCCTTATCTTTCCTCTAGTCGGCCTACGCATACATCTCCCAGGTCTCGTGATCGCCCTTAGTCCTTCCAGGCGGTCCTACCAAACTCGCGACCCAGCCACAACCACACATCACGGCAAAGTCAGGCTCCAACCCCATCCCCGACCCTTAGTCTTTTCAGGTCGCGCTAGTCATGCAATCGTCAAAGCCCAAAGTCCATCCCGGCCGTTCGAGATTCAAACCCCCTTCTCCTTATTACGGTCCCATGTTGCACAATCCCTTCATTGCCAAGTCGTCCAAGCCACTTACCTGCAACACATCCAAATAAACATGACAATGGCATACGTCCGTCCCCGATGGGGTCAACACACTGCCCCTCATGCAAGTCCAAGTCTTCCCTTTCCTTTTCCATGCTTTTGGGTGTCTTCCTTCCTTTCTCACAGTCAAACCACACTCTTCTTACTCAGGCATGCAGTCGAGGAGGTGGTTGAGTCGACTGACCTTGTCCAAAATAACACTCCCTTTTGCTCTCACCAACGTTGTCAATAGTCTCGTTTCCTTTTTGGTGGCACAAGGGACCGGCAGCCCTTCCCTTGCCCTCGCTCTCCACCAAATGAGGACCAAGTTTCTTCCGTTCGTTCCCTGGCAACGTAACATTGAGGATAGAAGTTAGTCACATGCCATGGAGGAGAAGGGGTGACGGAAGGCTTTAGGGGTTAAGGAATTTTGAAGAAATGGAGGAACATGAGGAGAGAGGGAGGGAGAGAGAGGGAGAGCGCGGGAGGGAGGGAG